GACAGTCAGAAAGATGAAAACACAAGTGATTAAAAATTATTCTACTAGTGTTTTAAAATAATCAGAACTCAAGTTTGAGTACACATAAATACAAAGAGGAGAAATGGATTCTAAGTTTACATGACTAGTTTACTAAACACATAATAAAAGCTAATGAATATGTCTGAACTTTTTCACATCAGGAATTCAAGTAAGTTTTAAATGATGAGAAACTCTTGAAAAGTGTCACCAACTACTAGAACCAGAGGGCACAGTAGAGTGAGAGTGAGAGATTTCTTAGTGTGTTTGAAATTACATTTAAGCACAATTTTTTTAAATATTAGCTATTAATCTACTATTTATTCTTCTACTATCCAGTTAGTATGACTCACTTCGAAGTATGCCATCTACTTATAGCCACCAATAAAATATCTAATCTGTCATGATTTGATTAGCTATAAAATTAAAAAGACTTAAGACATGCAGTGGTGCTGCATGCCTTTACTTCCAGCATTTGGGAGACAGAGGCAGATGGATCTTAAGGTTAACCTGGTCTACAAAGTGAGTTAGTTCCCACTACAATCAGAACTGTTACACAGAAAAACCCTGTCTTGAAAACTAAAACAAAACAACAACAAAACCCCCCAAAAGAAAAGAAACTTATAATTAAAGAGACTTCCAAAGTATCTGTATTTGCAAATGATGTGATTATATGTAAGTGACCCTAAAAATTCTACCTTGAAACTCCTACAGCTGATAACCACTTTAAGTGGCAGGATACAAAAATTAATAATCAGGGCATATTTTTACTTTTTAACCTTACAGGTCCTTTGAGTAAGTATTATGGTTTGGCTATATAAGCATGTTCAGAGGCCAGGGAAAACTTTATCACATCAAGCTTTTATGTGAGTGTTGAACTCAAAGTCATGCCCTTTACCTACTGAGCCATCTCCTCAGTCCAGAAGGCATTCTTCTTTCTGAATCAGTGAGGCTTAGAGAAGTGCAATGATTACTTTACATGCAAACGTTCTGACTTTGAACATTTCTCTTCAAGAATCAGAATTAAAAGAAAAAAATTCAAAACGTAGTAGTTACTAAAAATGCAATAATTTGTTAAATTTTATTCTTCTCCTTGAAAACAACCTGTTTTCAGTGTTAGTTAATTAAGGAGACTTAGTTGATAAAGGATAAACAAACAAAATTCACCCCAACGAAGTCTGAATATAAGCGAAACATACAATCTTGCTTATTCAAAATATTTTTATCCTTATAAATTATTATTTTAAATATTCCAGTTCTAAAACTTTGAAGACAAAGACTACCTCTAACTTAATTTCTTTATGTCTTGGCACTAGGTATAGAATTAGACTTGGCATCAACAGAATCAACACACCTAAGAACTCACTGAGACAGCATGCACAGGGTCTGCACAGGTCTGTACCAGATGGAGTCCTAGAGTTAAAAGAAGGGAACATATATCCTCATCTATAACCCAGAATCAATATCCAATTGATACCCACTTGCAAATGAAAATTTATTCCAAGGGAATTTCAGTGGGAAACAAACTACTTTTAAGGGCAAGCAGCACACCCACAAGTTAATGGCCAACAGAAAACAAATTCAATGAGCTCACTGGAGGTTACTGTCTCATAATATCACGTGGGTCTCTAAATCTATTATTTGTTTCTTGTGCCTTTTCTTGAGTTCTTTTCCTTCTGTTTGTTTTGTACGATTCCAATGCATTAGTTTTGTTCTACCTTAATATCCCTTAGAAGCATGTTTGTTTTCTAATAAGAGACAGAAACTGGGAAGATTCAGAGGGTAGAGAAGGTGGGGGAAAGAAACTGAGAGAAGTAGAGGGAGGAGAAACTGTAATCAGAATATACTATGTTTGAAAAAAATATTTTCAGTAGAAGAAAAATATTAGATTTCACTCACACTGTGTTATACATACACAAAGTGTTGAAATCTATAATCTTAGAGCTGTTTTAGCAAGGTCTTTGTAAGTCCATTTGGTGTTCAGGATGAAAGATGAGTTAAAATGATGGCTCCTCTAAATACAACTGTGTTTCCTCATCTGTCACCTTCATTGAAACTTTGTCTTTCAAATAACTCCCTTCTCTTAAAGGTCCACTTATATTACTTGATATGAAATACACCATTCTCTTGTTTTAAAAAAAAACTTTTAATCTCCTTTAGAATTATTCTTGCTGTATCTAAAGCACTCAAGACCTATGTAACTTCATTCTTTTATAGATAGAATATAGAAACTTTAAAATCTTAAAACATGGCCTTTTACAGCTTGTCCAAAGTTTATTTCTTGTTTTAATACCACAGTATCCAGTATCCTGGACTGACCTACTTTTCGTGTTTGTTATGCAATTTTCCTGACCTCTTTACTATTAATTTGTTCCTACACATACTTCTGGTGGTAGAACCAAAGGAAATAGGGGAAAAATACTTGTACACCAATATTCACAGAAGCAATGTTGCTAATACTCAGAAAGCAGACACAACTGAAGTGACTACTCAGCACCTGATCTGATACAGTTTGGCATATACAAAGGATGGAAAAGAGGAATGGACTTCTGATACATGTTACCTCATGGAACTTAAGAACATGATGTTAAGTGAAACAAAACAGATGACAAAAAAGAATGTGTGTTTCCATTTAGATGAAGTACATAGAATAGCCGAATTGATAAAATATAAAATAAAGTTTGCCGTAGTCTAGAGATGGGATATTGGGAATTTTAGGGTTCATATAAGTATATATATATATATAAATGTATATATTTTTACACTTATATATATTATATATATTTCTTATTTTGGATGATTCTGCAACAAACAGTGGTAATGATTCTATGAATGCCAATGAAAAATAGGAAATTAATGATTTTTATACTTAAAAGGTAAATTTTAAGCAATATGCTTCCTATTTTTTATTTCCTTTGCTTATTTGTTTTTGTTTTTAATTTTTCCCTTTTTTGAGACAGGGTCTCATGTGTGGCTCTCTCTTGGCCTGGCCTGGAACTCATTATGTAGACCAGTCTGGCTTCGAATTCACAGGTATCTGCTTCTGCCTCCCAAAAGCTAGGATTAAGGAATGCAAACTAGGATTAAGGAATGCACCAGAAAGCATGATTTTGGCATCCTTAAAGTGGCCTTTTTCTTCATACTAATTTCCTTTAATAACGCAGAAATCTTAAAAATATCCTATAGATACTTTTTTCCATAGTCTCTAAAGTTATCTCTTTCTTTTAAAGTTTTCCTCTATCACATTTGCTTTAATAAAATTGAATATGAACACTTATAATTTTTCACATTTCAAGCATAATGATACTGTATAAAGGACACTTAAATTTACACATACACATGTGCATGCACGTGTGAATACCCCATGTTATATCTCTTCTTAGACTTGTAAACTATACAAAATGCTCTGATTCTCATCTTTTGTTTTTTATGTCAATATAATACCACAGAATTCATAGCACAAAATATTTATGGATGCCAAGCACCTTGTAAAGAATTGAAAATGTAAATTTCAAATCTTCATTCATGCACAAGAAAAGAAGTTATAAAGAAGGGAAAGATGGATACACCAAAGAATCTCTAAATCACCAGGGAGGCTAAGAAATTATATTCTCCAAAGAAAAAGGAGAGCAACACTGAATCTAATCTATCTGAACTATGAAGAAACAAAAAAATTAAATTTAATACTTTTAAAGTTCCAAAAATTCTTCTGATCTTACTTAAAAGATAAAATTAAATTGTTTTGTAGAAATCCTTGAGAAATTAGATAAAATAAATTAAGAAATAAATTTAGAACATGGAAAATTAATGAAAGATCCCACACACAAGAAAACAATACCTATAACATGATGTTGAAAGATAACTGAAGCAAGGATGATGCATTTTTTTAAAAAAAAATCCTTTAAAAAAAAGAGAAGAATGATGGTTTGTATTAAAAAGCAAAAATAACAGGTGGTCGTTGAGTTTTAAATCAGTTTAGGAGTAATCCGAACTGGGCTGTTAAATAACAAAGCATTTTTCTATTTTTAAGATATGTTTGGACAATACACAGGCAAAATTTTCCTTGGAAGTAACTTCTGATCAGAATTAGAAATAACAGGGGAACAATGCCAGTGATTCATTAGATGCTGAGAAATATAAAGGAGGCAGTAGGAACAAACCAGCAAGTCACAAATTCACTGAAGATGAAAGCCATGACTCAAATAAAATAATGGTGCAGCCAGTGGGAGCAAATAGGAAGATGAGGCAATAGTCAGGCAACCTAGTCAGCAGTACAATCCAGTGGCACAAGGCATTTGGAGCAGAAGTACTAAATAATCTGTACCTATTTACAATATTATAAGCATAATGGACAGGGCAAAATCAGGCAGGCAGATGGAGAACTTAGTAGGCCACAGTATTGGAGAATGATAGAGGGGCAGATAGACAATGCTGGGCAGTCTAAAATGCTAAAATAGCAGATGGATATGGAGGGACCAGGCCATTTGCTAATGGGTAAAGCACCAATGAGTGGAGAACACAAATTGTCCAGCAGATGAAATTAGGCAAAAAGAAGAGAAAATCCAAAGGCAATCAAGCAGGAAGACAGGACAGTAGAGAAGCAATGGCAGACCATCAGAAGCAGTAGAGGAAGGTAATGACAAGTTGTCGGCAGGGGAACAAAACACCATTCAGGAAAAGATGAGACTGAGCAGTGAAAACAGTCCCTGAATTGGGTGTCTCCATCTAGGAAATAATTCATAAACTGTGTATGAGAGTCCACAAGAGAATAGCACACAAATGGAAATAGCAGATGGATCTGAACTCTATTGCCCAAGGATACAGAATGACCCTAGAACATAGATAGATACATAACAATCCACAAGGAAATTAAATAGATGGGAAAAATGGGTCCAAGCATTTTTTTATGATGATAAAATAAACCAAAACACTAAAAAGTATTAATCTGGAAATGATTGGCTGGGATTGAAGTCTTCGCTTACCCCTTTCTGGAGCCCACAAAATGGGAATGTTGGGAATTTCTGCAGCAGAAAAACAGAAGAGAAAAGGGATTTCTGATTCCCAGTTTGAGGAAAGCAGGTCAAAGTTAGGGCTCTATGAACTGGTTCAGGGAAAGAAGAACCAGCCTGAACCTTCTCTTCCTCAGAATCAAACCACTTCTGAGGTCTGAGAAAGGTTTAGGAAGCCCTCAACCCATCATTCCCCACAACCTCCCATTTCACACTTACCTCCAGTGCAAACAGTTTCCAGCAAGGAGGTACTTAGGAAAATTCACATCAAGGCAAAATTTGAGGATGGTCAACTAATGGTATTTTCTGTTCAGGTCAATGTTCTGATTCAGTGAGATTCCTTCCATTTTTTATGAGTAAGCAGAGGGGATAATTTCTAGAAACTACCTACCTTTTAAAAAGTGGGTTAGGGGAAAAAAACATCAGGGGCCAGTAAAACCAATAAGTAGACATTAATTCTAGCTAATAGCTTGGTGATCTCATCATTTGTCTTAGATTTTAATTAATATCAATGATTCAAAAATTATGCAGACATTTTCTTTGAGCTCCAAGGCAGTTCACATTTCTGTGACTGAAGTAATTTAAATCCCTATGTCTATCTTTTCTTCACTGTTCTTTATTTTAATAAATGGAATTTCACAATTCATTCCTCAAATCACAAAAGCCAAATCCTGCCTCTTTTACCTGACTTCTCTCACTCTTACTCCATGTGTTACTTCTTTCAAAGTAAATCAACTAGTTAGGCATGGTGGCCAAAGCCTTTAATTCTAGCACCTGAGAGGCTAAGGCAGGAGAATCATGCACTTATGGATAGCCAGGGTTACACAGTGAAATCTTGGTCTCAAATCAAACTCTTCCTGTCTCCTGCCATCCTCTCCCCTCTCTTTCTCTTCTCTCCAAACCTCCAATTTTCTTTTCTCTCCCTCCTTCTTCTGATCTAAGTGACTCTCTTTGTTTTCATCTATACTATATTAATTGCCTCCCAACTAGTTTCCTGTTAAAATATAAGCCAGTCACCCTATACCTCCACTCTATCACATTAAAGGGACATAATAATTCTACATGATTTATTCCCCTTTACTCCTTTAGGTCATCGCTTAAATGTCATCTTCCTTAAAGAACAGCCTATTTTAATTACATTGATTTTTTTTTCCTGCCTAAACTATTAATCATCCTTCCTGGGTGTATTTTAATCCATAGAATTTATCACTAATATCATGCATTACTTATTTTCTTAGGTTTATGCTTCATCTTTAAGAGTCTCTTCATACAACCTTCCAGTAAATTTATTGTGAACTTTTGTATCTTTATGGTAAATTTAATGGAGACCTTTAACAAACATTAAAATTAATTTATTTATGCTGTATGCATGTTTGGGGTAGTGTGTGCACACATGAACTGCAAAATAAAATGGAAGTCAGAGGACAACTTTCTGGAGACAGCTCTCTTCTTCCACCATACGGGTTTAAACAAAAGTCCTCAGGCTTGGTGGTATGTGCCTTTTCCCTGTAAGTAACTTCACAGACCCATCATAGAGAAATTCTCCTCTGTAACTTTAACATCATGAAAAGCACATATATATTATACACTCAAGTTGAGGAAGCTAAATTTCTTGGAAGGATTCTTTTTCATTAATTCTTAGAGACAGGGTTCCTATGAGTAACAGCCTTGGCTGTCCTGGAACTCACAGAGATCTGTTTGCCTCTGTCTTCCAGGTACTGGTATTAAAGGTATTGCCATCACTGCCCAACAGGATTCTTTTTCTTAATCTCAAAGTCCCAGAGTATTCTGAAAGCTCATACATATTTTGAGTTTGTAGGTTAGCAGATAAGGATACTAGTACCAAAAGGATAGGAGAGCTCTATTTACTAACATGAGGTTAGTAAATTATAGCCCAGAAACCAGACTCTGCCTATTGTATGTTTTCTCAGACTACTGGCAATCTGAGAATCATCTTTACATTTTAAAATGATTCAAAGAAAATAATAAAATAGCCTTTAAAGACAAGTAAAAACTGTATATGAAAGTTAAACTTTAGTGTTTACAAAAATTTTAAAAAAATAGTCATCCTCAATCAATAACTTGTAAACCTCTATTGATTAAATACTATCAAATTATTTGTTTGTTTATTTCTTGTGCCATCTTGGGCACATTTAACCTTCTTTTCTGACCCAAGTTTTCCTTTCAGTAGTCTCTGTAAAGGTAGCTTAGTGGTAACAAATTACTTAAACTTGTTTTTATTATATAAAATGATTCTTTCTCCTTTGTTTATGACTGATAACCTTTCTTGGTACAGTAGCTTGGGCTGGCATCTGTGCTCTTTCAGGATGTATAGAACATCAGTTCTGATATGTTTGCCTTTATATGTGACTTGATCTTACTCTGCTAAAGTTTTCAATATCCTTTTTTTAAAATTGTTGTTCTGTACATTTAGCGTTTTGAGTATTATGTGACATGGGGTTTTCTCTTCTGGTCTGGTCTATTTGATGTTCTGCCTGCCTCTTGTTCCTGGATAAATATCTCTTATCTTGGATTTGGGAATTTTCAATCATTTATAATACCTATAGCTGCTTTTGTGCTACAGAGATGTCAGAATTGGGTGACATAAACTATATAGTTTCTGGAAACGCTTTGCCTTCTGTGTCTTAAAAAGTAAGTTCGAAATTCAAAGATATTTTATATTTATAAGACAAAGGGTAATAACATAATCTGAATAAAGCTACAACAAATTGTTAACATTATCAGTGATGCACCTCGGAGGGAAGGTGTGTTTATACAAGGATTTGCTTTGAGTATTATATAAAAGCTATCTCTCACTCTTCTAAATATTACTTATTTCTGACAGTGATATTCATCTTCTGCAAAGAAAAATCCCACCTTAATGATGCACAATGTCAGTAAGCTTTAAAAATGGCAAGGCAGTAAATGAAAAAAGGAAACAGGACCTATAAACAGTTTCACATCTGTCATATAATTATTCAAACTTCTAACTATACTATTTAAGAATAATGTGTATGATGTGAATATCTTAAACATCACCAGTGGAGTTATTATTCAGCAAACCCACTATAAAAAGGCTATGTGTAAAATAGAGTCCTGAATAGCAAGCAAGAGATAAATTATAGTAAAAATGATACATTATAAGAATATTAAATCTAACAACAGTTTTCATATAATTTTGAATTTTTGGCACCTATTTCACCTAGCTCAAATACTTAAACTTAATGCCAAATAATTCCACTCTATGAAAAATTCTGTACAGAACCACTTCTTAGTAGAGGCCTATCTTTTTCCTTCATAAAGTCCAATCCTGAGAATTGCTACATAAAAGAATATTAAGATATTTTCTGCAAACGGATGGAAAAAAGTGAAAAATATGAGGGGCAGACAACAAAATTGTCTCAGTGACAACCATCACTACAGTCTCTTGATTCTTTGAAAATCATTTTATATGCAAATTAAACCTCTTAGAATTCTTAACTGCTTCTTCTGCATTTTTGTTTTTATATTTGGTCAAACTTTCGCAGTGAAGTTAAACAGATAACAGTAAACTTTCATAAATTTTTTTGCTTTCTTCTAAGCATCCTTTGAAGGAACCAGTATCCCTTCTGACAATTCTTACCTGTGTGCTATTAATAATATTTAAAATTGAAAATTCCAGCATATTGGATAATTTTTTCATTTCATACTTTTTTTTTACTTTTAGTTATATGTATGGATGTGTGTCTGTGCACAAGATTGCAGGTGCTCACAGAGGCCAGAGCTATCTGATCCTCCTGGAGTTGTAGTCACAGGCAGCTGTGACTGGCCCAAAATGAAAAGAAATAAACACAGGTTCTTTGCACAATCTTAACCCCTGAATCATTTCTCCAGACCACTCCTTCATATTTAATAGCAGGCATGCTTTTGCTATGTTCTATTATAAGGAAATAACACTGACATAATTATTAGAAGCATTCCAAATAATTTTGTCTCTGAATCCATTTTATTAATTCCTAAGAAGTCTATATCATGTAATAACATAAAATCATAAATATGCTGTCACTTTAAAAAGGTGATACTATTTTGAGTTCATGGTAATATATGTGTGTATATATTTGTTGAAACTATAATAAAGTTTGTATTAGACCAATATTATATTTTATAGTTACAGATGATATCGAATATAGATTATTTATATTATTGATTTCAGTTTGTAATTAGATTGAAAGGAATATTCTCAAGTCTTATAGTAAGACTATGTTCTCTAGCTAAATCTGTGTTTAGTGTTAATATCAACTAAATGCATATTGCTATTTTGTTTTTAATTATATTAACATGTATCTTGTGAGACTATTCTGTTATTCTAGCATCTGTTCTTTTATAATAATACATGTGTGTTGGGGAATATTATTTTAAGGTGTGTGAATTTGGTTAATGCTGCATTTGTTTGACTCTGTGAAGCTGTGATTCTTTGCCTGTCCAAAACATCTGATGGTCCTAATAAAGAGGTCAACTGCCAATAGTGAGGCAGGAGCAAGGAAAGGTGGGGTTGGCAGAAATCTGGAAGACGAGTTAGGAGATAACAAGGAGAGGACTGGAGCCAGCCACACAGCAACACAGACAGGCACAAAGAAAGTAGGAAAGTAAGACATACAGAAGTAAGAAAAGAAAAAACCCAAGAGGGAAAAAATAGGATAATTTAAGAAATTCTGGCAAGAAACCAGCCAAGCTAAGGCCGGGCATTCCTAACTAAGAGTAAGCCTCTACGTGTGCTTTATTTGGGAGCTGGATGGTGGGCCCCTCAAAAAGCCAAAAGAAAAAAACATCCCACACATATGTGCAAGTGCTAGCTGGAAAGTAATTTCATCCATTTGTACACTCTAATCCATTCAAGATAAAAGGAGCATGCAGTAGGTCCATTCTGTTGTTTCCTTTGCCTCTTCTACAACTTCACTTTTGTGTTTAGCACATTCAGCTTTTCCTTTTCCTCCTCAGGGAATTCTTTTCAATATTAAACCAACCACTATTCA